AGCAACCCTCTGTTTGTTCTCTATATTTAAGAGTCTCTTATGTTGTATCCTCCTTCCTGTTTTTATATTCTTTATGCTTTCCTTACGTTGATCTGTTTTGTATCTTAAATTCCCCATATGAGTGAAGTCATATGTTATTTGTCTTTCTCTGACTAATTTCGCTTAGCATAAGGGGTATTGAATTTTAACAAATGCTTTTTCTATGTCTGCTGAGATTTTTCCCCCTTTGTTATTAGAAATTAAATAAATTAATATAGTAAATTACATTATTATTTTCTAATGTTAATCTCTTTACAATTTTATTAACATATGATAGTCTGAAAATTGTACAATGATACTTTTTCATTTTGTGGGTGGGGTGGTACGGTGAGAATTAAAATAAAACAACATAAGTTAGATCCCATATTGGAAACTGAATTTTAACTGCTATTGTTAAAGCTTATTTTAACTATCTTGTAATACAATTTGCCTGTTTTATTAGTCTGATTTTAAATAACCTAATTTGGGGTTTACTCTATTACTTTGAATAATTAAGTGTTATGTGTACTTTTTCAAACATAGAGAAATCACTTGAAGTTTATTGGATGATTAACTCATTTATTTTTTTTAATGTTTATTAATTGAGAGAGAGAGAGAAAGAGAGCACATGTGCACGTGAAAGCAAGCAGGGAAGGGGCAGAGAGAGAGGGAGAGAGAGAATCCCAAGCAGGCTCCACACTGTCAGCATACAGCTGGACATGGGGCTTGATCCCACGAACTAGGAAATTATAACCTGAGCCAAAATCAAGAGTCGGCCGCTTAACCAACTGAGCTACCTAGGCACCCCGGATGATTAACTCATTTAAGTGTCAAATTAATAAAACAGAATTTGATAAATGCTTCAATAAGAAATGTATTTGCCTTAATTAAATGTATAACAAAGGAATAGGATTTAATTATTTGTAAGTAGTGGGAAATCAGTGGCAAAATTAGATGTGATTATTCATTCAGTTCTGTATGTTAACATTATCTATTGCTGGTCTCATGATGGAAATAGGCATCATCACCTTAAGTCCAGCTGCCATTTTCTTTTAAAAAATTCTCTTAGAACTATATTTTCATAGTCTGGACTAAACAACTTTTCTGGTGGTGGTTTTAGCATTACCATGGAAATGAAACCAAATAAAAGTGGGACTACTGTGATGATTTTAGTAGACTTAAGTGGGGTTGGTAATTCTATCAATAACAGGTGGAAAAATGACATTTCCAATCATAGACCACAGGTTGACTGGGTTTAGGTAACAATTCAAGATAAATTTTGTAAAAACTATTTTAAAGAATTTTGCTTAGGCCTAAAATAATTTTTCACTTTTTTTTTCCTCTTATAGTCACGTTCTGTATCTAGTTCCCCTGTGATGGTAGCTCAGCCAGTTTATCAGCAACCTGCGTATCACTATCAGGTAAACATGAAATTACAATTAAAATTCTCTTTAATACCTTCAGTCCTTTTTGGGTAAATTTCATTGTATTCTTTCTCATGCAATAACTCTAGTAATTAAAATGAGATACTTAAGCCTTGATAACAGTGGGTTTTTTTTTTCTTATGGGGAACTAAACAATATCATACAAGAAGGTAGAATGTTTGCTTCATTTAACCAAATGTAATGAGGTCAGTTTTGCTCCATTTGGCTAACATTTAATCTAAAAAGTCTTTAGAAATTCCCAAAGCAACATATAGATAACACATTCAGGGTCACAGGCTAATTTTTTAATGTTATTGTTAACATTATATTACTTCCTTGCTATTATATTTAACATAATCTATATTAAAATAAGCCTCTTTTAGTTAACCAACACTCTTCTGTTAATTCTGTGGGAGATTGGTGATAAGTGATCCATAATGCCAGACTATTTTGGTGTTTTGCAAATAAAGATTTGTTAACATATCTTGTATTTGTATTACATATCTTGTATTTGTTTACATACTGTCTCTGGCTGCTTTTGTACTACAATGACAGAGTTTAGTAGTTCTAACAGAGATACTATGGACTGCAAAGCTTAAAATATTTACTCTCTGGCCCTTTACTTGCCAACCTCTGATCTATAGCATTCACAAATAAAATCACATTCTTTCTTACTTCTGGAATATTGGAAGAGAATTTGTTTCT